GTGACCATCCCTGCATGCCCGTGTTCTCTTCGTGTGTGTGTGTCCCGCCCTCCCGGGGCAGCCAGGGGGTGGACGAGAAGGAACTCGGGGCTACCCGAGATCCAGTCATTCATCGTGAGCCAAGCGTTTTAGAAGAGTTAGAACTGGGTGGGACGCTGGTCATTCTCCCTTATATAAAGGTGCCTGAATGTCCGGATCAATGGGAAATTATGGTCCTTACCTTTCCCAATGTCCTCTGTGCAAAATAGAATGACTGTTTCTCAGGCAGCAAAAGGAAAAATCAAACACTTGAGTTTGAGCTAATTTTTTTCTAGTCACTATTTTGTGAATTTTTGAACCAGCATTTGCCTCCAACCAGGGCCTTTCACGAGCTGGGAACGAGAGAGGATTATGTCAATGTGGGTTTCCAGTGGCTGATTAAAACCAGCCCGTTCCGCTAAGCCCTCTGGTGTGTTCTCTGAGCGCCAAGGGCCGAGGACTCGGATTCACTGGTAATGCCAGCGTGTGTCTAAGTAACCGGAAAATGTGCTTCTGATATCTGAAGCTGGATGGGCGAGGGAAAACAGAATTCCTTTACACTAGGCATCCATAACTCATTTGGGGTTCTCCTAATGCACTAAAGACCAACCATGATCTCAGCCCACATGTGCGCCTTCAGGAGCCTGAGCTCCTGTGCCTAAATCGTGGTGAGCTGGGAGAGTCGAACCCACCGTGGGCTGGGCACTGGTCACGTCTGCACTGGGCTCGTACACGGACTGCCTTTCTCCGAAGGTTAAGTTAACTCCATTGAAGTGCACGGGGAGGAAGTGACAGGGAGGAAGCCCACCACAGGTGTTTTAAGAGTCTTGAAAAAGTGCTTATTGCTTTCATTAAGGTTCCTGCAGCTGTGGCTAATAACCAGCGTATCAGTGTCATACGAGGGTGGCCATACTATGTCTGAAATGAGGAATAGCAATTATTACAAAACCACTAAAACATTTTCGGATAACAAACATAGAATGGAACTAGATGGGATGGCTTATCCATTATTTTGAAAGTTTGGGTTTTTTTTTGTTTTTGGTAAACAGTGGACATCTTCTTTTAGACAGCACATAAGTAGAAACTTGACTGAAAGCCATTCTATCGGAAACTAGTCCCTCCTCCTCTGCCCGCCCCTCCAGGGGTCAGAGGTTAAGGCTTGCAGGGAAGCTTCAAAGTGTGTGTGGTTGCGTCATGTGGTTGTGGGGGTGGCAGGGAGGGCTAGGAGAGGTACTGAAAGAATAAATAAGGTAGCAGATGAGTAGGAGGTTCATAGGGGAAAGATTGCAGAACACAGAGAATACGATTTTAACTTTTCTCAACTAACACGTGTGTAGGTTCTAAATTCAAAAGGGACAAAGTAAATCTTCCTTTGTCCCCCATCTCCCAACCGAGGGGTGCTCCTTGGTGCAGGCCGAACTGCTGTGTGTCCTTCCAGAGACTGTATGGGTGTGTAAATGCAGACTTAAACTTTTGCACACATTTTTGCACCTTTCCATTACACAATCTTGATGAACGTTTCACGCTCGTGCAGACAGAGCCGTCACCATTCTTTTGTACAAATGTGTGCCCTGGCGCCTGGGGCCTTATCAATACTTCTCCAATGAGCAGTCCTGTGCACACCTGCAAGTGTGCCCATGGGGTAGAACCCACAGCAGACTTCCTAGACGTAGAATTGCCCTGTCCCAGGGAACAGCCGCTGAAAACCGAGAGCGCCACACTGCTCTCCAGAGAGAACCCATGGGCACTGTACCCAAGGTCACTGCTGCTGGATCTGCCAGTCCGATAGGTGACAAGGCCACACTGAACTTTTAATTTGCCTGTCCCTTTAGGGCGAGGTTGGGTGTGTTACGCACCTGAGCCGCTGTTCAAGCCTCGTGACCCTTCTTCTGTTAGGGTTCCAGTGTTTCTGATCTGTGGGAGCTCGCTAGTCATGGAAGACACAAATACTTTGTCTAATGTTACAAATATTCTTGTCTTCTAACTTCTTCATGGCATTTTTACCATGCAGATATTTTAATTTTGCTATAGGCAAATGTATTGATTTGGGGGGTCTTTTAGGTTTTATATGATGTAGAGAGGAGGAATACCTACTCAATGTGAATCTATAAATTCCATGGTTTTTTTTTCCCTAGTACTCTGAGGGTTTCATACTTTACACTGAAGAGTTTCTGATGCATCCATCTAGATCTTAGTTTGGCATACAGTAAGGAGCCAACTGATTTATTTTTTAAAATCTAACTAGCCAGATGTCCCACGACTTTTCCCTTTATTATTCGGAAGTGACTCCTTTATTATATATTGACTGCCCTTATTAATAGATCCTATTCCTAGATTTTAAAAAATTCCCTCCCATCAATTTGTCTGCTTTTCGTGCCAGCGTTTCAGTGATTGCGGCTTCGCGATCTCTCCGATGCGGCTCGCACACCATTTCTGTTTTCCGTGACCTTTCCGTCTGCTCCTGCCCCTCCTCCCATGTGAACCTTACAAACTCTTAGCCTAAAACAGCTTCTAACTTTGAACCCACTGCAAGTTCAGAAGTTTAAAAAAGTACGAAACCTCTCCTGTCTGTGTCCTTTCTCTGCCCCGGGAGGAGGAGCGATCGCTTTCTTCAGGTGGGCCCTGGTCTCGGTGTCCCTCCTCTGAAGTTAAGAACTGCTGTTCTGGAGGTGGGGGTGTTCCTGACTGTAACTCTCCACGACTTCTTTTTTTAAGGATTCTGTAGGAAGAAAGGCCTGAGCCAAGAACCTTCCCTACGGTTATTCTCTGCACCATGATCAAGGTTCTTCCTGGCGATTTTCTTAAAATTAGTTGTTCCTTCTATTCCAAGTATTGGGTTGGATTACGGCTCCCCACTTGTGGTTTTACAGGTAGATCAGCACAGCTGACTGACATCTGTGTCACCAAGTCACAGCCGGCTTAGCAGTGGCTCAGAGCACGGCGCCGGCCGTACCTTTCCGTGGTCGTCTGGGCTGGGTTGGGTCGTGCCCCGTGTGACAGGCACAGGTGCACTGGATGCTCATCATGAAAGGGGCTGCGGAGAGCCGTGTCCGCAAAGCACATCAGGAGGGAAAACTGCTCTCTCAAATCTGACCCGACGCCAGATGCCAGCTACAATAATCATGAAGTCCTCCCTCACAAGTTCCGTCTGGTCTCCTGAGCTTAGTGCTGCGACAGGATGGTCCCGATGGCTGAGGGCTCTTTAATGCCGTCCGAACAGGCTTGAAGGGAAACTTGACCTCCCCGTTGGCATGACTCTTCTGCAGCAAGCAGAGGGGCACTCGCCCTCAGACTGGTCTTCCCGGAGCTCAACCTTCCCAGCTCCAACCGAGCAAATCCGGCCCCTTAACCCACGTGCGAACGGGAGCCTGTGATCACCCGAGGAGGGTGCAGAGGGCTAGACCGGACAAGGCCACGTCTTGGCCACGTGCTGCCTCGGCCCCTCGGCCCCAGCCATGGGCTCCTGTGGCCCTGCAGTCTTCTTGTGTCCCGTCCTCGTAAGATATCTTCCTCTCCACCCCAGTCAGAGGACCCTTCCCTAGTCCGCCTTCACACTACATTTTCTCTCTGCCGCACACCGCCTGGTGTCGATGCGTTGTGTCCTCACCCACCTCCTCAGTGGGCAGCTCCGGGGAAGCCCAGCTCACTGCATCCAGGGGACCCCGACACTGACAGCCACTCTGTCGATGGGAGCGGGGTGGGTGAGGCCAGGATCCCCGGCCCCAGGGTAAGACCAAAACTCCAGGTTGAACCCCAGGTCAGCGTGTGCTGGATGCTCATTGAGAAAAAGCAGCTTCCAGACAGGCAACTGTAGAGGCCGTGGGGCGGACTTGGCGTGTGTCTGGGAAGCCAGAAGGGTGAAGGGGGAGGGGGGCCGCCCACTGTACAGTCTGTGCTGCCGCCCCTCCATCCCTGTAGCTGATGTTCGACCTCCGCGGGTCCACAGGCACCTTGCCCCTACCACATCAGCACCTTCTAATATGCTATCCCGATGTCTGGGAATCTGCTGCATTTCATTTTCTGCAAAGTATAACTTAGTTGAAAATGACTTTGGTGACTTGGTGGCTCTAGCAGGTCAAGTGTGAGCAGTGATGTTTTTCTCCTACTTCTGAGTGCGGGCTTTCGGCTCCTTGGGTAGTGTCAAGGGACTGGTTTTCAAAAGGCAGTTGAACGTTGACTCCCCTGAGGAAGTCTCCTGCATGCTGTACAGGCCTCCTTGCTGGGCAGAGTCCTCCCACTGCGGAGCCGACCTGACCCCTCGTAACCCAGGAATCTCATCATTCTCGGCTCCTCGGTCCCGCCCTGGGTAATGAGAGTGTCTCTCAGAGGGCAGGCCACTCCCATTCGGGAGAAGGACGTGGGTTCTTGCTAACAGGATGTCAGTGTGTGTGGTGCTAACAGGACTGACCGGACTTCTTCTTCTCGGGTGGCTGTGGCCCAGAGCTGCAAGCTCATCTAGTCACGGAGTGAGGGAAGTCCCTTCTTGGGGCTCCTATGTTCTGCGTGTGGCCTGGGTGTCAGCCAGTTCAAGATGCGGGGAGGGAGCTAAGGGCAGGAGAGGTGGTTTTCACAGAAAACAAGGAAACTTAGCAAAGCCCACAGGCTCTCTGTTGGCTAAGGTTGTGTCCAGGTTACTTGGTGTAATGAGTTTGTCTCCTTCCCTTCGCACAAACTGGCACAACCTGTCCTCCCCACCCCCCTCATGTGGACCAAACAAGTGAAACAAAACAAGCACATAAAACGAGATTATGAAGTTGCCCAATTTGGTATAGGGTAAGGTGGATCTTGGCCTTACTTCATGACGGCACTGCTGTTTACGTATTTAACTCATTTAACCCTCACGGCAATACCCAGCAGGAGGTCCGCTCAGCACTGTTTACGGGAAAAGGTTCAAAGAAAAATCACCACCATCTCTGAGTCCCCCGAGCTGCTTTGCCGGTGGAAGTGAACCCTAACTCTGTTTCTCACCCCCTCACTTTCAGTTGCCCTGGCCAGAGCGTCCCCCAAGATGGCAGAGGAGAGCAGCAGCGTTGCCAGGGACTGCGCGTCCTTCAGCGTGCTCAACTGGGACCAGGTCAGCCGGCTGCATGAGGTCCTGACCGAGGTCGTGCCCATCCACGGGCGAGGCAACTTTCCGACCTTGGAGTTGACCCTGAGGGACATCGTCCAGACCGTCCGCAGCCAGCTGGAGGAGGCAGGCATCAAAGTGCAGGACGTCCGGCTGAACGGCTCCGCCGCCGGCCACGTTTTGGTCAAAGACAACGGCTTGGGATACAAAGACCTGGACCTCATCTTCCACGTGGCTCTCCCCACCGAGGTCGAGTTCCAGCTGGTCAAGGACGTGGTGCTGTGCTCCCTTCTCAACTTCCTGCCGGAGGGCGTGAACAAGCTCAAGATCAGCCCGGTCACCCTGAAGGAGGCCTACGTGCAGAAGCTGGTGAAGGTGTGCGCGGACACCGACCGCTGGAGCCTCATCTCCCTCTCCAACAAGAATGGCAGGAACGTGGAGATGAAGTTCGTCGACTCCATCCGGCGTCAGTTCGAGTTCAGCGTGGACTCCTTCCAGATCATCCTGGACTCTCTGCTCTTCTTCTACGACTGCTCCAGCCACCCCATCTCCGAGCATCTCCACCCCACGGTGATCGGGGAGAGCGTGTACGGGGACTTCGAGGAAGCCTTCGACCACCTGCAGAACAAACTGATCGCCACCAAGAACCCCGAGGAGATCAGGGGCGGGGGGCTGCTCAAGTACAGCAACCTCCTCGTGCGGGACTTCAAGCCCACAGACCAGGAGGAGATCAAAACTCTGGAGCGTTACATGTGCTCCAGGTTCTTCATCGACTTCCCGGACATCCTGGACCAGCAGAGGAAGCTGGAGACCTACCTGCAGAACCACTTTGCCGAAGGGGAGAGGAGCAAGTACGACTACCTCATGATCCTGCGCAGGGTCGTGAATGAGAGCACCGTGTGCCTCATGGGGCACGAGCGGCGGCAGACCCTGAACCTCATCTCCCTGCTGGCCTTGCGCGTGCTGGCCGAGCAGAACATCATCCCCAGCGCCACCAACGTCACCTGCTACTACCAGCCGGCTCCATACGTCAGCGACGGCAACTTCAACAACTACTACATCGCCCAGTCTCCAGTGACCTACAGCCAGCCCTACCCCACCTGGCTGCCCTGTAACTAACCTTGAGACCTGAGGGTTTCCACGGCGGGAACCCCCCGTAGGGCAGGGGCTCTCAGGTAGGGGAGCCTCCTTCTAGATGTAGGTGTTTGCCTCTTAAAGGGGAACTCAGCTCTGATTCTGCTTTTTTTTCTTTGTGTACCCATCAGAATGGGTCTACAGTGTGTCATGAGCCAACCCTAACGGGACCCGTTGTTCCAGTGCCACTTTGGAAAAAGCTGTAGGAAGCACGGCCTGTCCACATCTTTCCGAGACAGACACTAACCTGCCGTGTCCCAAGCATGGGCTCGGGGAGATCCGAGCTCTGTGCGGTGACCCAGGCGGGGGAGTCGCCCGGGCAGGGTGTGAGAAGCACGGGGCCGCGTGTCTTCTCACTGGGGCCTGGAGAAGGCCCTGCCGGCGCCCACCGGGGGCTCTCAGCTACACAAAAGCTGTGCTGATGGTCTGTGTTCCTGCATCAGTTTTAGTCAGGCAGAAAAGGGCAACCGCGAGGGTGCTCCCGTGACTTCAGTTTCGTTCCAAGGACTGCGCTGCGTGTGTAACTCCCTGTCAGCAGAGCTGAGGACTCCTCTCACCAGCACGCTACGGCCAGCTGCTACGCAGGTCCGGCTGGAGCGGTCCATGGTTTAGATGCTGCGCTCCTGCGAGGAATTGTGTGTGCGATTGCTGAGACGGAAAAAAAGAGAAAAAGGCCTTTTCGTGAAATGTAACTTGAAGACAAAATAAAACGTGGAACATAATGTTAAACTAGGATTGTGGTGGGGGTAGGAGTGATTGTAAATAGGAAAGCTGAATGTCCACTTTTTCTTTAAGGAATTTTGATGACTGACACTTCGTTTTTCCCTCAGCAGCTCGTCACTTTTGTGTTTCTCTCCCCTGAGACTAAGGGTCGCGCCGAGTCTGGGGTCATTGGAGTAGCTGACGTGTGAGGGTCTCCCTGTGTTTTCACTGGAAACCCGTCCTGGTCACATTCCAAGTAGGACAAGCTGTTTTTCTGGAGTACTTGTGCTGATTTTTTGTTTGTTTGTTTGTTCAGAAGTAGTGATTTCCTTCTCCAGATTTTCTTTTTTTTGACAGCAAATGAATTCAGGAATTTCAGTAAAACTGGGCAGCCTGTGGAGTGATCTGCCCGCGTGGGCAGATATCTTTGGCTTAACTGTGCTTTAGAATGGAACCCCCTGCCCCCCCCCCCGCCCCGTGCGGGGCGTGAGGCGGAGGGCTGGCGTCCAGGCGGGCCCATGTGGGACAGCCGTGCCGGGGCGCCTTGCAGCCATCAGCCCTGGCGTATTTGGGGGTCCGCTGTGTGAACGAAGAATCATCTTCCTGCTGCTGATAGATTTGACCACACCTGTTTATATTCTGCACTTTAGAAGGAGAACAGTATTAACCTCTAGTCTAAAGCAAGCTTAGCAAATGGAGCGCTCTAAGCTGCCGCTTCCCCAGTAGATTAAGTAAAAGGGGTTTTGTGTTTTGAAGTTTTTTGTGTGATCTCTTAGCAAGCATCACCTCAGGGTGTCCAGGGCCAAGAAACCCAATCTTGCCAGCCAGCCTGGGTTCTACAGTGATTCCATCTAGCCTGCGGTCCTGAGTTTAAATTTGTCCCGTGGCCATGCAAAGCCCAGCCCTGAGTGAGTGCTTTCTCCTTGCTTTAATAAGCAATGAAGTTGCCTTCTTACAGAAATGCTGAATAGAAAATGAGTGGTTTACCTTTTTTTTTTTGAAGATTATATTTTCAGGGTTTTTTCCTAGAATGTGGTGTCTTGGTCCTCTTAAAAAGCAGGTGGGGCCTGGCTGAGCCCTGAGGCTTAGCTGCTATCCAGGTTGTGCTGTATGAGGTGAAGAGAAGCCACTTCTTAGTGTAACCAGCTCCTGTTTCTCGGGGAGCCGGTCATGTCTGAATGCACTGGCTTGGAGTCAAGGCCAGTTTGACGTGGGAGGGGCGGGTGCTCCAGTGTTAGAAGGGGGGCAGTGAAAGAAGAGTGGATCCCAACTTTGAAAACGACATGGTCATCCAGGACCTTAATAGACTGCCATGTGGTCAGATGGCAACGTGCTTGCTCAAAAATGACAAATCTGTTTAACCAAAGTTTGAAATGCGATGGAGCCGCCAACAGAAGCACTCGCCACCAGCAGTCGGGATTGCGCCCCCAGGAGGCGTGGGGGACTGGGCAGCGAGGCTGCAGATGAAGAGGGGACCAGACCCGCCTCAGGCCATTAAATGTCAGTTTGTCCTTGGAGTTCTTTCTGCTCGTTTTCTGCCCCCCCCCCCAGCTGGAACTGGTCCTTTGAGAGTGGAGGGAAGCACAGAAGATGCTCGGAGCCCCCAGCCTCCAGTCCTTTCCCACCATTGCAAGATGGCCAGCTTGGAGGTCTCCTCCCCTGAAGCCTTTAGGCAGCCCAGCTGTTCCGGAGTTTGAGAGCAGGCGCGTTCTAGAACCATCAGGGTACAAAGCTACACTGACCAAAGCTGTGCTTTTGAAATATCACCCAGGGCTAGTGGTGTCTCCACCTGCTCTGGGAGCCTTTTGCCTGCCTCAGACTAGACCAGGTAACCTTGAATTTCAGGTGTCTGGAAATTCTAGCTGAAACCTGCCTTTCATGCGGCTCCCAAGCACCAGGTACTCTGAAGCTGTACTGAGTCCTGTGGCGGTTCTTTTCTGTGTGTTGAGTAACATGAAACTTGGCCGTGGCCAAGGGCACTAAAGTTCAAGTGCAAGTTCTCACATACATTTAAGCAGTCTCATTTGCTTCAGGGCTCTGAACAGTTTTCTGATGCTTTCTGCTAGTGTGCGCTGGTTGCCCCAGCCTGTGTCTTGGGATCAGGTCAACAGCAGTGAGATTCAAACAGCACCTTTCCCCTTGTGTTGGCAGAGGGCGCGCACGGAGTACCTGGCCCTGAGCTCCAGTCTCACCCTTAAACCTCACCTTGGTGGTGAGACACTATTCCTCACTCAGTAACTGCAACTCTGAAACCGAACTCCGTGTCACCAACACCTTCAAATCAGGGTTCCCGCTGGCCACTTGTGGGATATGCCATGAGCCACACCCTGGAGGACTGGCAGGTGGGGGAGTCTGGCAGGAAAGATGCTGGGTTTATGCTATTTGGTGACTATTGTGGTTTGACATTTAAGTCCCCGCCCCCCCGAGTTTGATTTTTCCCTGGAGATTGGAGTTACGGTGAGCTGTGTGTGAACCTGTGGAGTTCTTTGTTTTTTTCTTTTCTTTTTTTTTTTTGTGATGCATTTAGTAAGCAAATGGCTAACGCCCAAATCTGCTTGTTCCTCAGCCTCCCCACTAGCACGGGCCCCTTACCTTCCTGGTAGGTGAGGGCTGGAACCAGTACTGCTTTCTTAACTTTGGGAAGTGGTGCCACTCAAAAGCACCTTCCTAACTTTCAGAATGCCTCCCTTCTCGTTAACTTTTTGTGGCAACTTTTTGGGGCTGGTGCCTCGTTTTAGGGTGCAGCTGGATTCCGAGCTCAAACATCCTATTCTAGAGACTAAAAGATAGTTATCCAGTTGTGAGAAAAGACCCCAATGCCCACTAGGGCTATGACTCTTGGGGTGTCTGCCTGGGGCTCCCCATGAGGGAGAAGCCTTTGGGGGGGATTCTGTAAGGTGAGAGAACTTCCAGTGGCCAAGGTTAAATCTGTACCCTTAATCTGGCAGAGACCAGAATGCCACAGCTGAGCTTGGAACCTATTCCAATTCCGCCAGTTACGTTCAGAGGACCCGGGGAGGGGTGTGTGTTGGGGTGGGGCGGGGGAAGGTGGTATATTTAAAAAGACCTGACAAATTTTCAGGATTATTTGTGGAGACTTCAAGGTGAGGATCAGGAAATAAAATGCTTTTTTTGTGAGTTCAAGTTCTAAATCTTGTTGACCTATCACTTTATTGAGAAAAAAAACACACACAAAAAACGGCTAAGTGTCAGCAAAAGAAAACGCTTGGAGTTTTGCCTGGGTTAGTGCGAGCTGGTGCAAACTGCGGTGTGTGTTTGCCCAGCAAGGTGAGGAGGCCATCCACGAAAGAGGAAGTTGTTCAATAACACGGATCTGTGGGTGTTTGAAAATGCAAGCCATCTGGTTTTTTGTTTTTTTTTTTAATGAATGAAAAAAAATAGCTGCTTTAGGAAAATTAAGATTTTTTTTATCCATTAACTTCCAAATTAATGCAGTTCAAAAATAAGATACTCATTAGGTTAGACTAAATTGGAAGCTTTTGTTATGCTAGACGTGCATAGCCTTTGAGAGAGTGATTTGCTTGGATGCGTGAGGTTTCCTCTTTGGTGTGATGGTCACTGACTTTTGTGCGTGAAGCAGGTAAAATCAGTTATCAATGCAAAATGTATTAGAACTTGATGAAATAGAGCTTTGAGTTTGAGAAATAAAGATGTATTTAAAAAAAAACCACCTTGTCAGTTATGAGACCTCACTGTGTTCATTCCTTTGTGCGTCTCTTCAGCGTTGGTGAACTTGCTCTATGTTCCAGGGAAGATGCTGCGTGGTGGTGGGTGGTTATCAAAAACACCCTCGGACACGCCTCCAAAGCCGGGACTTTCTCGGAGTGGGGGGGGGGTCACCTCGGGGCTCATCATTCCCTTACTATCTGGACTCCTCCCCAAGGTGCCCGGCTAATTTAAACTGAGCTTCGTTATTGACCACAGCCTCTCAGCTAATGCCCACGTTCCGCGGTGTAGTCCTGTTTGATTCAGCGCTAAAAGCTAGGTTCTCATCAGCTTGACCTTGGCCCCAAACCCCTCTCAATAAGAGAACTGGTTATTTACTTTACATAACTGCTACCCTGGTTTCTTCACATTTTAAAATAGGCCAGAATGTGAACAGGCGACATTTGAGTAGTTGGTAGACGACGTTTGGGGGGCGGGTATAAAGAGAGACTGTAGATCCTGCCTGGTGACCAACTTGCTTCCTGATTCCTCTGGTTCAGTTCACAACCCCCCACACCCCACAGCCCTGCCCTGTCCAGGGCCTCAGTTCTGCGCTGAACTGCTTTTACTCCTGCGGTGTTTTCTGTAATGGTCATCAAAAAGCATATGACTTGGTATAAAAACTCTCCACCCCCTTGTCTTCAACCTGCCTGTCGCTCTCCTCAGACCTCTCGGTGTGAGGACGAGCAGCTCTGGGACCCCGTGGGCGCGGAGGCCTCCTCCAGACCACTCCTGTGGAGTGCGTGCTCACTGACCCTTCCTGCTTCCCCCGGGGCCCTTCCTGCAGCCAGCCTGCCGCCTCTGTTGTCAGCATCTCCTCGCACTGGCTCGGCTTTGGATCCGGAACAGCTCATGGAGGTTGGAGTGACTCTCTCTTCCCCCTCCGTGATCACAGAATTGGGCCCAAATCAAAGGGCGATTTTATGATCCTGTTACATTTGCCCAGGAGCCAGCTGCAGGTTCCTGCTGCAGCCTTCCTTGGCTCTGCCTCTTTGGCGTCACCTTCAGCACTCCCGTGGGCCACTTCGTGAGTCTCCTCACTCGCCTCCCCTCATCTGCCTTGATCCATCAGGGGCTCTTTCTGAAACAGGTGTGCCTGGGCGCACTCATACATACCTCACTGCGCAAGGGCAGATGTCAGACTTAGAAGCGTGAGGGGTCCTTCCCAGCCTTTTTCCTCCTCCGCCAAGCAAGCTTCCATCCCATTCCGGAGCACACAGCCCCTTCCCTGCACCCGCCCCGCCCCCCCCTCCCCCCCCGCCCTGCAGAGAGCCACCCCAGAACCAGCTGAGCTGTCACCC